AACAGGGGGAAATGATATCGGACTTGTTCAGCTGAAGACCGCGGTTAGAGGCAAAAATATTCATTTAGCAAAACTGCCAAAAGCTAAGGACGAAGCAATTGAAAGGCTGGGGCAAATGGGTGGATACGCACCTTCAGGAATGGCGCAAGCGTCAAACAAATTCGTCAAACCAGTCGAAATGCCCGTTTATCCATCTGGTATATGTCCTGCATTTTACTGGTTAGGAAGACAAGGATATGGGTTTTGCGCCGGAAATCGTCAAGCAGCAGATGTTACACAGGTACTCAAAACTGAGCTCGAATATTAAGGTATCTTAAATAATGTAGAACCAACAAGATCGCTATGAATCTGGTAGCTTTAGTATATATATATATATATATATATAATGTCATTGGTCTTAAACTTGGTCTTCTACCACTCTCTAATACACACCTATTACCCAGCATCCCATTTCCACAAGCTGAGTGGTTGAAGTGGCGTTTCAACATGAGCCTCGCAACTGGCAAACTATGCAACTGACTATTATGGGTGAGTTGAATCATTCGAACATAGGGAAATCAAGCAATTTAAGCAACACTTCCTGATGGGCAACGCCAACATTACCAGTGAAGAAATGGGTTCGTATTCCACGGCTCCGTGTATAGGGAGATGACATCACAATTCAGCGCACGAAGCTGCAGTATACTGGATCGGATGAGCTGGTGGAATAAAATGTCACTGCGGTACTCATATTGCCTTGTGCTACTATCTCTTTTCGGTCCACTCGAGCGACTGTCAACGGGGATTTCGAAGGGTCTCCCGTAGGGGCATTATCGTTCCCGTTGAAGACCGCTGCACGATAGCATCCTCACTAAATCATCAAATCGGTATACTGTCTCGTTTTTCCACACTGCCGTTATCCCTCGACCAGTAGGCGACTTGAGATCTCGAATGACACGCACGCAAATCCACGGAGTTGTCATGAGTGACAGAAAGCCTTTACTGTGGTCCTAGTGAGCACAGCCATCCAGGGGACCCCAGTGGTTTACCACTTGCTTGGGTGTTTGGGTTGCCCGTGTGATGCATTGCTATCTCCCATCTATTTGATAAGCATGGAAATAGATTTTGCCGTGTTGTGTTGTACTACGTTTTGGGTTTCATTGTGCCGTAATTTATATAGTTTGGTTGAATTGATTTTTATCTTTAGTTTGTACACATATACCAAACCAACCCCCGGATGTTCTGGAGAACTAAGCCCACAATGACACTAGATTTCAACATCGTTGCAGGGAATAAACACTGAAGGCGCTTAATGTGTGGTGCGCTCCCCGGACCACTTTTTACATACGCTGCGGGTCCAAACCGTTCAGTTACCTCCACCTAGCAGTTATGGATCATCTTTAGGGCGTACTAATGGCCTTGGGACTGTCTACCATCTGGTTTTATTTCCTCGGGTTTATACCGGGTACATGGGGTTCAATTAGTTGCACACACACCCAACGAGAACCGCGTATGGCATCGCCCACTGTGCGCAGGAGTCCATCGGCTGTATTCGATATGACAGGCTCATCCTGAAGCGGATGTTCGACCACCAGGGCAACGTGCTATCACAAATGGAGCACTGTCAGGTGTTGAAGGCAGTTTTTTCAAATATCCCTCAATATCTTATGTTTCAAAGTCAAATAGGGGAATGCTTCCTGTTTGCAAAACGGAAAATGTAATCGCCATTCTTCCGTCTCCTTCCCAGCCTCCTCCAGCCTTATGAAAGCTGCAACGTTTCCTCCCCCCTTCCCATGAAAAGTGTCCCTCGAACAGCCATCAAAACGTTCACAATCTCAATTCTGTTGATCACAGCCAAACCGCTGAACTCTGCTTGGACTGACAGCCTTATTGCTGAGACCCTAATTTTAGCCACACCAAACAGATCACTGGCTTTGCATGTGAACGGTTTGCAGCAGAGTTCATCGAGACACTCTTTAGACTAGAAATTATGCCTCCTTATTTTCTGACCTCAACTACTCCTAACGTTCTCTGTTGCCCATGCAGCGGCACACGACTCGAGTGTGGTGAAGCCAACAACTGGCACACTTGAAATGGTTGAAGTATTGTTGGCGCGAACACTTGAATGTTTCATGCTGCGGTTACACAGGGGCTATAGAAGTAACTCATTATTTCTGTGTCACCAGCATCGTGGACGGAAGCCTCATGGCAAAACAGGAACACGTTCATCAGAAAAATGCTTTGTTCAATGAATCGCCAAGGGGTCTCATCTAACACACATGGCGTCAAGCGGAATATGTGAGCAGAGGTGAAGGCTCATCTGTTTATTAACAGTGGATACACTAAATATCACAGTGTGGATGTTCATTAATCCGTATTTTCTGGCTTTTCAGAGATGGTTTCGAGCGACCAATTAACACAAGATACCATCGATCCCATATATACCAAGAATAGTCGGAAATATGAACAAGAATAACCTCAACCCCACATTTCAAGTTGGGAGTCTTCAACTTTCATACATTCAGAGCCTCCGAGAAGAGATGACACTAGTGTATTCTTTACGAGCTTTTTCTAGAGAAGTTCACTTCACCGTTCCCGAGAATTCCTCATGCATGTGCCTTTCAACCCCTCCCTACTACTACTCACTACTCACCTACTAGATATGAATCCACTGACTTTGTTAAAAAAGCAACTTCAAACCCTTGTCTTGATTTCCTACTCAGCATGGTATATCAAAGAGGTGGATGACGTCAGTTCGTAATGAGACAAAGCAAGATCGCCTCAACTGTATTCAAGCAGAAAATCACGGAATTAACCACACGATCACATGTAAGTTTTTGAGGCCAGAAGAAAAGCGGAAAGCTTAAACAGTTCGATCTCCACTGACCCACAGGTTCACCAACCCTCTGATCCGTAGCCGGTTTGAAACACAGTCGTCTAATGACGTGGTCTTCATCAACTCTGGTAGGCAAACTTCCAGACGCTCACCATTTCCAGCGCACCGATAAGATTTCACAGGTGTTATCACGGTTGGTGTTCTTCATAGCTTGTCTGTCACCCCCTTCCTTCCCATATTTATCACCCCAACTCTTCTTGAAAAACTGACCACGAATACCCCCGATTGCACGGCTGAAGTTCATTTCTCTGGATTCTTTCACAGGCAGGAACGTCTCATTTTCTGCTGAAGACGAACCATGGTATGTCAACGCGAAATAAAGACAGCTACCGTCAAGTTGAGTGTTGTAAGGCCTTCGTGATTTCTCGGCTGTGTGATTTTTCTTGCACGTGGCTGCAAATAGCTTGTCGTGTCACCCCCTTCCTTCCCATATTTATCACCCTAACTCTTCTTGAAAAACTGACCACGAATACCCCCGATTGCAGGGCTGAAGTTCATTTCTCTGGATTCTTTCACAGGCAGGAACGTCTCATTTTCTGCTGAAGACGAACCATGGTATGTCAACGCGAAATAAAGACAGCTACCGTCAAGTTGAGTGTTGTAAGGCCTTCGTGATTTCTCGGCTGTGTGATTTTTCTTGCACGTGGCTGCAAATCCCGTTGCGAAGCAAGCGAGTGACCCCAACGGTGAACTTATACTCCTTAATGAGATTATCTGGCAAACTTTTTTCTCTCATTGTATGTTGGGGTTGTGTTAAGTGAGGTTCGCAAATAATGCTGAGTCAAACTCGCTAAGGGCGTCTCACTCCAGCATGGCGCTGAGATGTGTTTATTCTAATGGTTTTAGAAAGTGTAGGTATCTGGCTCTTGGCTGTTTTCTCCAAAGACATGGAGCTATTTATAGGATTTCCACACCCTTGCTCTTTCATCCCACTTTCCATTGGGCCCTTCTTCCTCAATGGCTGTATGGCAGTTTAAGTGCCAGATTCCACTATTGCTGCGCTGCTGTACGCGATGATGAGCCCAGTCCCAACTTTTTCCACATTTTCCAACCTTCCCCTTCCAAGTTACGCGTGGGCACAACTATTTACAACAACTGTATGTGTGTGTGGAGTTCTTTTGCATGGTTCGAACCCAACCTATGCATATCGACTTTTCCTCTCTAGGGTTGGGAAACCTGGCAGTATCCCAGGCCCCATACTTCCTTCGGGTGGCATGACAGCTAGGCACCGAAAGGATGTTACGACTGAACGACGATTTCTTCATATCTCCGCTGATTATTCCCACATCTCATTGCATTACTCCATACTTCCTCGGGTGGCATGACAGCTAGGCACCGAAAGGATGTTACGACTGAACGACGATTTCTTCATATCTCCGCTGATTATTCCCACATCTCATTGCATTACTAATAACGCTCGCCATTGTCAGCATAATGTGGAAGTTTGCAAAAAGATGCTGGCGAATATTGAGCAAGTTCATCCCTGAAGGGATATAACCGTTTAACCCTTTCGAGAATAGCGAAGTACCCCAGGCGGCTCTCAATGGGGACAAACAGCTTCACCATGTTGCTTGGCTTTTCAGCATACCTGTGCTATTAAAATATATTTGTAAAATACTATCATCACCAATGATCAAGCACAACTGTTTGAGGTGTTCGTTTCGATACGATAGCAGAAGTACTAGTATGATGGGATACGAATTTGCCTCCTGTAACATCATGGAAATTTATATGAATAGAGTGAAGCTAAAGTGCCCAACCATACGACCTCTGACTGAAGTAATGAGATGTAATGCTATAATGCAACACAACACTAGGGCAATACAACGCGACATAAGACTACAATATGGTGTATGATACGACATAGTGGTTGGCACTGCTAGGATAAATCAAGTTATCGGCACTGAGGCACTTGTACTCAGCAACGTTACTCACAACGCAACTTCATTTGAGTAGTGTGATGTACAAGAGCACAAATATGGACTGCATCTATCCAAAAGCATATACAGACACGATACACTCACATCACTGATCGCATTAACCACATCCACCGGGGGAGGAGGGCTTCGTGACTGACTGGAGCGTTTGAAGCTAAGCAATTCCATGTGTGAGTGGCGGCGTCGTGGTTCGAGTGAGGCGAGCGGAGTTCCTTTGGGAGGGGAGGAGAAGCCTCGATTAGCGGTAGAACAGCACGATTTGACGTTTGTAAACGGAAATGGATCGCTCAAGCACCCGCTGTGGTCACGATTCTGGTACAGACTGGCGGGTGAATCAAACGACAAGGTGGTGTGCGTCGTTAATAGACTAGCGTATTTCGGGCCTGTTGAACTGGACGGTCGACGAACTAGACAGGATTTGACGTGTACGCTTTGCGAATCACAATCCACTGTTTCAACAGTACTATCCATGCAGCAGCGCGACGGCGGGCTGTCAACGTTTGCAGTCAAATACAGTTGAAGCGTTGCCAAGACTAGGGCTGAAACAAAGATCAAAACGGGACAGCGTAATTCAACCATATGCTTATGATAGTGAATATCCAGGCTTAATTGAGACTCTCAACTGGCGTGATGTTCTCCAGCGTCCATGCTGCGAGCGATTTATCCTCAACGTAACCGAAGCGTTCGAGCTTGTCGAAGACTGATGACAGTGTCTACGTTCCCAGCATGCAGACAATCCTTCTTATGGTTCGAGACAAACTCCACCCGATTACGAATACTGCAAAGAAATGGATTCTATCGGGCTTGTGGTCTGGCAAATGGGAGACCTATTTATCCATCAGAAACAATCTGGCCGCGTACTTTCCAAGTCCCTGTCGAAATCATGAGGGTGAATTATCGATAAATTATCCAGACGAAGACAGACCTTGTCATGAGTCCAATGCGGCTTCATACGCATTTGTTGCGCATATCATCATGAAGAGTTAAATATCCACGCTTTACTCAGAATATTTGGGCCAGGTAATTGCGTCAGACTGCTGAGTCATTAGGTATGGAAAGGCCCCCATCATCATCATCATCGACAGCATGACATCAGTGTTCAACACCAATGTTTCACTGCCGTACAGCCATGACTTATTTGAAAGCCTTATTGTAA